CACCTGTCTTCTCCGCAGGAGGTCCGTCAGCGATTGGTTCCGGTTGAGCACGCAGCTTCACGCCCTGCAGGTGAGGAACCTCTTTATTGAGTCATGGTGGTTATTTCATGTGAATGAAGAGACTTCATTCACATAGAACCACCATCAGATAGAACCACCATCCACATAGAACCACCATCCACATAGAACCACCATCAGATAGAACCACCATCACATAGAACCACCATCAGATAGAACCACCATCCACATAGAACCACCATCCACATAGAACCACCATCAGATAGAACCACCATCAGATAGAACCACCATCCACATAGAACCACCATCCACATAGAACCACCATCACATAGAACCACCATCAGATAGAACCACCATCCACATAGAACCACCATCAGATAGAACCACCATCAGTACTTCGTTCGACACCTCTGCTGAAAACCCTCACTGACCCCCTCCTGCTCCTGGACCCCCTGCAGTTCGCCTACAGAGCCAACAGGTCTGTAGACAATGCGTGCACATGGTCCTCCACTACATCCTCCAGCATCTGGACTTCAGCTCTGCATTAACACCATCGTCCCGTCTCTGCTGCGCAACAAACTTGTCCAGCTGCACGTGCCCGACTCCACCTGCAAGTGGATCACAGACTTCCTGTCCGACAGGAAGCAGCGCGTGACGCTGGGAAACACGTCTTGCTTTAGAATAAGATAAGAGATTAGATAAGATATTTCTTTATTAGTCCCACAATGGGGAGATTCACGGGATCACAGGCAGCAAAGTGTACAGTGCACACAAGGTACATGGTAAAAAACAAGAGAAATACTAGACCAGAAAAGAACTAAATATACTAGGAACTAAATAAATATACTTATATGTACACACAGTGTCTCACAGTGGTTATTGCGGAGATGCTGCTACTTGTGCGGCGCCATGGTGTCACTCCAGGCCTCCTGCCTGATGGAAGGGGCACAAAAACACATTTTTCCCCTCATCAGTTGGTCTCATGAACCACGTCCCCATGGACCCAAATCCCCGGAACATCCTGCACAGTCGTTTACATTGGACCAACCGTCGGGACAAATGCCTCCATGTGTAACATATGGGGCAATAAATGGCTTCTGATTCTGATTCGTCCACAGGCTGCTGTGATTCGTCAGGACTCCATCCTGGAACTATCAATTGGAACAGATCCCGCCCCCTCCTCCACCACAGGCCCCGCCCCCCGCCTCTCACGTTCAATGTCGCGCGACACGGGTCTGGACTCGAGCGGGGAGGCGGTGTTGCTGCGGAGGCAGGTGGAGCTGCTGCAGGAGGAAGTGACACGGCTACGTAGGAGGGGGGAGGAGCCAACGTGGGAGGGAGCAGAGACAGAAGGCAAGAAGAGGGGCAACGGGGAAATCAATAGTGTCAACAGGGGAGAACAAGTGAGTCAGGATTAAGTGAAGGGTTAAATCTGGCAACAAGCTAACCTATCGTAAGCTAAGCTACAATGTCTGTCTTAGCAGGGGAGCAGGAGGCGTGGCAGCAGAGAGTTGGAGCTCCGCCCCCTCGCACCACTGGCCAGCCAGGATCCCGTGGACCAATTAGACAGCGAGGGAGGAAGCGAGGAGGAAGTGATGAGGATCTCTCCTCGCTCCGACAGCCCGAGAGGTATGACTTTGATCTGTATTGATTTCAATATTTATTTGTTGTAACAATGATGATAATATCTTCAATAAATGTATGTACTATGTGATGATGTCATATTACCATATATAAAAGAAATATTATATATTATAAATATTATCTCAACGTAACTTGTGACCTCTGACCCTTCAGATTTGCAGGACATCCCAGAGGAGAGCGAGTGTGGAGCCGACCCCAGTTAACATGGCACGTGTTGCCAATGACCTCAGGGACCCGCTGATGTCACCGTGATGTCACCGTGATGTCACCGTGATGTCACCGGGGCACCAGTCGCTGTCAGACTCTTATTGTGAAAGCTGTCTTACAGATGCTTTTAAGACCAAATGGGACTTCTGAATCGCAGCTGTCATACTTTTGACTTGAAGTCTTTTCTGAATGTTGCTGTTAGGTTAGAAACAGGAAGTATAACCATGGGACCTGTTTACATCATCGCGTCAGCTGTAGCCCTGCCCACACCCATTGGGGTGGGAGGGGCTTTGTAGTGGCAGGGCGGGGTTTATACCGTGTCATTGGACTTGTTTTATCTGTCACTGAAACACATTAATAGTCGCCACACTACATTACCCACAAGGCCTTTGGAAATCAACAACCCGCTTTGTTCGGTTGTACTATAATGTCTCTTCTTGTGAGAATCAAACTGTGTAAACTGTATTTATATGGTAATTTAAAGCTCAACGTAGTTCATCATTAGAAATATGTAGGATTTTGATATCAAATAGTCAAAGAGACGAAAATCTGTTTGTCATTTGTGAGACCAAAAAAAATGAATTTGACTTAGGAACAAGGGTTGGCAGCCAGCCAGAATTTATAAGTTTACAGAAATCGTTTTTAAAGGGTCTCTTGTTTCAGGAAGGTTACTTTTCAGTCGTAGGTCAGTGGTGTTTTTAGAAAAAAAACAGATGTTTGCTGTCTGACTGAAGCATGAGGTCATGTTAGCATGTTAGCATGGCTGTTTTTTTTATACTTGTATAGAACCTGATCATATATTGTCTTATCGACGGGTTGGTTTTAATCAATCCGCTTGTTTGAGGATGTTTTTATGGAGAAAAGATAAACCAGCGCGTGTGCTGGTAAATGTCGTTTATTGAGCAAAGGGCTTCCTCAGTGCTGCTCTTTTAAACCAGAGTGCTGTGCCGTTATGTCCCAGGATGCATTGCACTCGAGCTTCTGATGGTCATATCCTGGAACTCTGGTTCCAATAAATGCCAAGAGCGTCCTCGTCCAGAGCGTCCTCGTCCAGAGCGTCCTCGTCCAGAGCGTCCTCGTCCAGAGCGTCCTCGTCCAGATCGTTCCCTTTAACCAAGAGTGGTTGAACTGCAGAGCAGAACTTTATTGACATTATTCACATAGTTAACCAAGATTAAAAAAAAAACGTCTGCAGATTTTTACTAATATTTCCCGCTGGATTTGAGGAGATGACATGGTCGCCATGGATACGGTAACCATGGAGAACGCCGCCTTCACTGCAAAGCTACTGCTGCTGATGTCAGTGCGAAGGACGACTGTCTCGCTGCTGTCAGGTTTCAAACCTCAGACTGAATGCTGAATATTTAAATAAAGGTTTAGAGATCACATGATGCGAAACACACTCAAGCATTTCTAAAACGTTTAAAGGAGGAATGAACATATCATGTTCATTAATCTCAAGCCACCTTGTATTTTTTACACATTTATATTTCATCAGGGGAAATACTTTGTTCTCACTGTTTCAGGTGTTCTGGTGTCACGTGATCCTTCAAACTGCAACTGATCATGACTAATTACTAAAGGCTTTTATTGTGAAGGTTGATAACTCCCTGGCTTTTAAAGACTTTTAAAAACAATTTGAAGTCCAGGCTGATCACAGGTTTCTTATTATGAAGTCATTTTTAACAGTAAAAACGTTCTAATGAAGTGTTTGTACAAAGATTTGATCTGAAAACTGAAGATGATGCTGTTGTTTATTGTTGTGTGCTTATTATAAATCTAATCAGCTAAACAAAATGTGACAATGTTTTTATTCACAGAGATATTTGAAATACGTATTTCAATTACTTGTGGGTATTTTGTAATTGGTATTCAATAGGGCCAATAAAAATCAAATTTAAAATACTCAAAAATAGGGTTGTGTGTTGAGGTAAATATTTATCTGAGTGACACATGTCAACTAGCTTGATGTGTAGTTTATGTCTGGGTCGGGCTTCGTGGCCTGTGCTACATGGCGATGGTTATAATATCATAAACAAAGCTAGTGATGTGGTCACCATGCCACCGGCCAACATCAAAGAGAAGGTCGTCGTGGCGCAGGGGGTAGAGCGGGTGTGCTGAGAACTGCAAGGTTGGTGGTTCGAGTCCCGGCTGCCCATGTCTCAAGTCTAAGTGTTCCTGAGCAAGACACCCGACACCTAATTGCTCCCCGGGAAAAATGTGAAAAAGACATGGATTTAAAGTGTAATGTAAGTGGCTTTGGATAAAGGCGTCTGCTAAATGACCCCTAATGTAAAAGTAAGAAAGCTGCTCACTTGTTAAGTAACCTGATCATTTTTCTATTGATTTACTATTTCAAATATTTAATATTTTCCTGTTGATACAAAGTCAAAGTGTGATAAAACTGAAAATACATTAAAAAGAATTTCCTATAATAAAATACATGTATTGTATGACATGTTATGTCGATGTTTTCTACAGATTTTATAGACGCTTTTAATTTGGAAGGCCATTTTTCGTCACTTCTGGTGGAGGGAATTTAACCCGGAAGTTGGTGTTGTCGTCGCTTGGGAGTTGGCTGGACGAGGAAGCGGTGGATCGCAGATTAAGGACCAGAACCAACACCGAGACCTGAAAGTGCGACCAGAACCGGAACCAGAGACCCGAGTCCACGTGCCGCTTCAGACCGATACCGAGTATTGTGTAACTTCTCCCAGTTTAAAAGTGAGCCAGCAGCTCCCTTAGCCCGCTAGCAGCTAGTTACCCTGCTAACAGGGAAGTGACGGCGACAGATTAAGTCGGGCACGAGCCACAGGTGCGTTTTCTCCAGAGGACTCGGACAGGTGAGGCTAATCCCTCCGGAACATGTCGACCGCTGTCCGCTAGCTTCGAGCGCTAGCTGGCATGCTAACAGGGCGGTGGTCGCTGTTAGCATCCGGAGCTAACGTGCTAATTCGAACGACATCACTTCAGCCTGACTTGTATAGAGGAATAACGTGTTTATTATGCAATTAATCAATAATTAGTGATAACTGACTCAAAAAGGTCTGTCAACAGATTAAAACAAGTTAACTAGTTAATTGCACATTTTGAAATTCATTATTACTATTAAAAGTTAATTAAACTATACGATTTGTTTTAACAAGTAATCACTTTAGAAAGCGTGTATTTTAGACACACTTGTGTTGTATTTCAAACCCAAACTGCCCCATGTGATCGTCTTTGAGGTGGAACATGTTCCTCTTCCTGTCGTCCTCGTGCACTTTGCTCTGAGGTCTCCATCGTTTGACGTGTTTGAAGTCCCAACAATGACGTTTTCAAACCACTGTCTTTTAGGGACACACGGGTGGTCCTCTGCAGGTAGATGTTGAGATGGATGTAGCCTAGCAGCTAGTTTAGCCTAGCAGCTAGCTTAGCTTATCAGTCCTAAAGTGGTCAGTTTGCTTCGTTTGACACGTGGAGGAATTCCTCTGCTCGGTTCTTCTGTTTGTTTTACTTCCACATACACAACTGTGTGTGTGGGTGTGTGTGTGTATATACTTACATTAGTTTTGTCTTTGTAAGCAGGTAAACTAAAATGACTACCGCACCCATTGTGAAGATTCATTTGCACATCAAGTAGATTTTTGGGGTTATCCCTTCAAACACCGTCAAGTTAACAACAAAAATGTAGTTGATATTTACCAGATTGGATTTTGATCAATCTGCTGCTTTCAATCAAACCACCCGTTTAATCTGTGGTTACCGTGGTTACCGTGTCTTCTGCCATTACGTTGTGTCAGTAGTTTTCCCTTTTTAAGTAACTTCAAACTACAAAGTAATGACGCTGTAACGTTCCTCCTGCAGAAGACGACGATGAGCGGAGGACTAAACAGCATCGATGCCGTGAAGAAGAAGATCAAAGTGCTGCAGGAGCAGGCGGAGGAGGCGGATGACCGAGCCGCCAGACTGCAGAAGGAGGTGGAGAAGGAGAAGCGGAGCAGAGAGGAGGTACACACACACACACACACACACACACACACACACACACCCTGTCCAGGTCAGGAGGGTCTGTCAGGTTGTCACTTACCTGTGTTGGAAGAGCAATGTGAATGTAGTGAGGACTCCTGACCCCTGCTCTGTGTCACGCAGGCGGAGGCGGAGGTGACCGCTCTCAGTCGCCGCCTGCAGCTCAGCGAGGACACTCTGGAGCGAGCCCAGGGGCAACTGTCCTCCACCCTCCATAAACTGGACGAGGTGGAGAAGTCAGCCGACGAGAGCGAGAGGTAAGACGCGCCTGGAGGGTTTATGGCTCCAACAAGGAGACTGATTCCTTAATGTCTCCCTGTCGGATGCTCTTTCAGAGGTATGAAGGTGATTGAGAATAGAGCTCTGAAGGATGAGGAGAAGATGGAGCAGCTGGAGGTCCAGCTGAGAGAAGCCAAGCTGATCGCTGAGGAGGCCGACCGCAAATATGAGGAGGTACTAAAACGTTACTCTGATGATGTGGATCTCCATCTCTTAGCAGACGTGTTGACTGATTTCTCTGAACAAGTTTTTATTTTTATTAACTTCAGCGTTGACCAAAGGGTCGGCCCTGTGCTATGCTAGTTAGCTCGCTGTCTACAGAAGGTGGTGTTGGGAACGGCAGGGTGCCGTATTGGATTAATAGCAAGTGTGGAATTAAATTATTGATATAAATAGAATTCTTATTGGGGCTGTCAATAGAATAAGAAAACAACTAATCGCACATTTTGAAATTGATTAATGACGATTAATGGATGTTGTTGTTTATAATGAATGTTTTTCTAAATCTAAGTAATGAGTAATCACTTTATAAAGCATGTATTTTAGACACTGTTGTTTAATTGTTAATGTTATTTTAAACACAAAACTCCACACATTTGATCATCTTGGAGGCAGAATTCCACCTGGTGGAACATGTTGAACTAGCGGCTCTTCCGGTCGTCCTCGTGCACTTTGCTCTCCATCATTTAAGTCCAGCAATGTCCCCACATTTAGCAGGACGTTTTCCAAACCACTGTCTTTTAGGGACACAGTGGTGGTCCTCTGCAGACTGTGCGCCGCGCAGGGTGGCGTTACATGTTGAGATGGAAGTAGCCTAGCAGCTAGCTTAGCATAGCGGTGCATTAAGTGGTCCGTTTGCCACTCGCCCCCCTTCTGTTTGACACGTGGAGGAATTCTTCTGCTCAGTTCTCCCGTCCTGTTTTACTTCCAATGCTAAAAGCTCCCTCGGGATGTAACTGACTGCAGCTCTGAGTGCGCAGTGATACTGACTCATGTGAACAGGTACTGTACATTACTGCTGAATAATACACACCTAGTGACTCTCTCTGAACCAATCAGAACGCTGGACTTCATCTACTCTTATTATAAATGTATTTATGGTTCAGTGTTTTGGTTGACAGGTGGCTCGTAAGCTGGTGATGGTGGAAGGTGAACTGGAACGAGCTGAAAACCGAGCTGAGCAGGGCGAGAGGTCTCACACACACACACACACACACACACACACCCCTCCACTTGTCTCCGTCTGTCAGCGGCTTCTAGTTCTTGTGACGTCGCAATTAGACCGACGACGTCACGCTGCCTCCTAACGAGCGCTCTAATCTCTCCATCGGTCTTCCTCTGCCTGTCTGCTGCTGCATGTCCCGCTGCTTGTCTGTCCACCGGTCTAACAGTAAGGTTCAGAAGTTGGAGGAACAGTTGAGGAGCTTTGACCAGTCGCTGAAGACCCTGCAGGCATCGGAGGACAAGGTACCCTCACCTGCTGTAAATGAGAACCAGAGGAGCTCCTCCTCCTGACCTCTGACCTCTAGTTGCTGCTTCAGCTCCTCCTCCTGCTGCTGCTCTCTGCATGACTTTAACCTGCTGCGCCACTGATGGTTCCACTAAACTTACCTTCTGAAATGTCACCAAGACATAAAGACCCTCGCAAGGTCCCTAAAACAAACTGTCTATTTAACCTTTGACCTGCAGTAAGAGTCGCGTGTTGGAGGAGGAGCTGAAAACAGTCTTCACTGGTTCAAAGTCTCTGGAGGCCCAGGCTGAGAAGGTAGGAGGAGGAGGAGGTCCACTGGTAGAGCATCATGGACGGTCGAATGGCCACACTTCTCCATTGCTGCAGGAGTTAAACATATTCCTGTGAGCTGGAGCACTGACTGTCTGTCTGTCTCAGTACTCTCATAAGGAGGACCGGTATGAAGAGGAGATCAAGAACCTGAGCAACAAGCTGAAGGAGGTGAGCCGCTAACCCTTCTCAAAACCTGGAAAGCTAAGCGCGCAGTCTGGAGGACGCTCCTATTCTGTGAACGCTGTTGGTAGATTTTGAGGTGTGCTTTGGATCGTTGTCCTGCTGGAAGGTCCGACCACGGCCCTTTGTGAGCTTCTACATGTAATACCTGCTGGTATTTAATGGAGTCTCAGCAGATGTGTAAGGCCTTTGGAAGAAAAACAACATTGTGTGTGTGTGTGTGGCTTAGTTAAGAAGGCTCAATGTTGACAAACTATGTTGCTTAAACAATGAACTTCTCGCCTTGAAAAAGGCCTGAAATGTGACTCTGTCTTAAGGGAACATTTCATTTGACTTGGTTGTGTTTATGTTGCTCTGCCGTTGGTGTCTGTTGCTGATGTGAAATGTGTTCGGGGATGTTTGGCTCTCGCAAGAAGTCTGCTCCAATGCATTCTGGGTAAAATGGTCAGGACGACTCCCATCCGTGGATTATGCGTCCTCGGTGAGATGCAAACTTTAGAATTGGAGCAGTACTCGAGCTGCGACTGACGTCTCAAGGACATATAGGCGTATCCAGAAAGGGCCTCCCGCCCCGTCAGAGCACTCGTTACCTGATGTCACTTCCTGTCTGCAGGCGGAGATCAGAGCCGAAGCTGCCGAGCGGTCAGTGGCCAAACTGGAGCGAACCATCGACGGGCTGGAGGGTGAGTTTCTCCTTGTGCTATAAAAATGACTATTTAGGCTTTATTCATAAGTCATCTCATTTTTTTTAAAAATTTTTTTGGATGGTGTTTTTTGGGCCGGGAATTCCCCACGGGTGGTTCCGGCCCCCCCCAAACCCCCGCTGGGGGGGGGTTTTTTTTGGAGACCCCCCCCCCCCCCCCCCCCCCCCCCCGTTCCCGGAAAGGGGGAGGGTTAAAACATTCCCATCACTGGTCCTCGTCTTCCGCGGGATAAAGAACATCCCCCCCATCACCTGGTTCCCTTCACACCCCTTTAATAATTCCTGTTTTCACACATTCCTGTGATTGTTGCTTAACTGAACCCTGGCGCCCCCGTTGCCAGTGCCAACCACCCCCCCCCCCCCCAGTATTATGTGAAGGAGGCCAGTTGGGGAGCTGCTTGATGTTCTTTGTCTATAAGGGAGTTTAACTAACAGCCGTGTACTCGTTGACTAATTCTGAACTAATGAAGTGTTCGTCTTAACGGTTTCTCGTTAGCTTTTTTTGCCACATTAAAGATTGATTAGAGCCAATGATTTGTTTGTTCCTAGAAGGCGGGGTTTAAGGCAGCCAATCCCCACGGGGCATTCTGCCGCCTTATTGCGGCCCAGGGATGAATTGAAACCACAGATGACCTTTGACCCAATGAGTCAAGTTTGGAAATGTTTTTACTTGGAAGCGGTGATGTCACAACTCATTGTAATAAATCATGACAAATTGAGAATTTTATAAAATAAAAGCACGGTCACTGAAATGTAGATCCAAACTGACTCGTTTTTGTTCATGTCAGACGAACAAACATTTGAATGTGTTTGTTCCCTGATGCAGTGTCAGCATCATTACATCCGACAAACCTATGAACTACAGATCAATATATGCGGGTTCTAGTTTCAGTTCATTGACGAAATTAGTTCTTATTAGTGCGGGCTGGTGACTTATAGGGTGAAAATCTCCCATGAGTCTTTGCTTTGATGTGAACAAGCAGTGAGTGACAGCACTGAAGAGTCCAAACTTTATTGATCAGAAAACCAATAATCCACAGACCTAACATTCATCACTTATCAATGTGTTTATTGATCCATGGCTGTCAGTGACACTGCTTCCTCAGCCAACTTCAGGATTGGTCGCAGCTGCTCTTCTAACGAGGGGGCGTTGGTCTCATTGGTGATGATCCAATCAAATTCAACCCTGCTGTCCAACCCACATTCTGACTCTGCATCATCAACACCTGAGGGACGGACGGGTAAACAGACCGGTGAAGCAACAAATGGAGAGGAAAGCTGACAGGTAAGCAGACAGGTGACCTAACCTGCTGAGAAGCTCCACCCCCTCTGTTGGCGTGTTTCGTCTGAGCTTTGAACCCTGACACTCTGAGTCTGTCGCGGAAACTCCGACCAGAACCACTGCAGGTCTGACAGCCGCCGGGCATCGCTCACCACCTGACCAATCAGAGCAGAGCGCGTCACCCGACCAATCAGAGCAGAGCGCTTACAACTAGCTAGCAGCTAGCCGCACGGTGACGTACCCACACGGGCTGCTGTACCCCTCTGGTTGCTAGGCGACAGAAGAACCCGGGGTCCTGCTGTCGTCGAATTTCCCCCCAAAGGATCATGTCAGCTCGATATTGCTCCTTATAGAGACCAGAACCCATCAGCTGATCCAGGTCCAGACCGTGTTCCTGCAGAACCACCAGAACCAGCGTGACGTACGTGTGTGTGTGTGTGTGTGTGTGTGTGTGTGTGTGTGTGTGTGTGTGCGCGCGCGCGCGCGTGCGCGTCACCTGAGCGTACTGCTGCTTGAGAGGTCCGGACAGACGCAGGACGCCGCAAACATCAGAACCTAAACTACAGAGGAAGAAACAAAGTACTGCAATAAAACCGTATTACGTCCGTGTCCTGACGTCACAGTTAACTCACAAACAGAAAACATGATCATCCTCGTGTTCAAACTGATCAGAGACCCATTGATCGATAACCAATAAGAAGCCATCCGCTCGGTTTACCGGTTCTGGATCAGGTCCGTCACGTAGTCTTTCCCGGACTTCCGTTTCCCGCTGAAGACCAGAATCAGTTTGGGTTCGGAGACTCGCGCCTCCATCTGTCATCGATCACTGCTGATTGATCGGCAGGTCGGTTCCTTTGGGCAGCTCCGTGGTCCGACTGTCGGACCACACCGGTCCGGTACCGTAGAGGTCAGAGCAAACAGGAAGCCCTTGTAAATAAAACCCCGTCCGCCCGATCCTTAAACCACAGGAGGTCAGTATGGGATGCGGAACTGATTGGATATCGATCACCTCACGTGTGAGGTATGTTTCGACAGGAAATTGTACAAAATAAATGGAATTTTACTCTTAAGTGAGATTCTTTTAGACGCATTACGGGGACACGTCATCTTCGTCACATTCTGGACCGAACCATCCCTCACAGGGGTGCGTCGATTAGGACATTATTTTTGAATTATAGGTTTGCTTTATTTGATCAAATGTTTCTTGTTCTTGGGGGCTTTCGTCCTGTTTAATATATGATATTTTCACATATAACATAGGGACTAAACACTGAAATGTACATTACATTAATAATATCCTGATTTTTGTGTAACTTTGTATTTGTCCTTTGTCTTAACTGCATTTCCCATGAGCGCCCCTCCCCTTCTCCTCTACGTTGGTCTCATCCGGGTCAAAGGTCATCAGTCTTGAACAACATGGCGACCTCGATGTTATGGAGGAAAGCTAAACTTCTCCTTTCGGCGAGGACTTCATTTCACACGGTGAGAAACATTTAAATATATAATATATAAAATATGAAGATAGTTATGCGTGACATTGCAAAGAAGTCATAAGAAAAAAAACAGCAAAATTAATAATCAAAGGTCTGACGGTAGAGGTGACGTCATTGAATATTTATTGAACGAACAAATGAAAACAGTTTCTGTAGTTTGACCTTTCACTCACTTCCTCATGCACTCTGATCAGGACGTGCACGCGCACTGCAGCTCATTCCTTAACTATCAGAGTCAAAGGCTGGATCGGAATTCCCAAATGTTCGATTATGACGTAGAAACATCTCCGTCAATCACAACTACGTACCGTCACTGTCTCCTGACGCGGACAGTTTTTAGCTAACTATCCGGTAAAACTATTAATAAAACTTATCGTGTAATGTTTTGAGGGGATTTGATGCTGTTAAAGTAGGCGTTAGCTCATTACCTTTCGAGCCAAATACTGTTTTAATTATGAAAGTAAACATTTCCGTAACCAGAGTCAGTAAAAGACGCTAACGCCAGTGAATTAGCCGTGCGTTGCTATAGGCGTGACCCGGGGGGTTTCCAGGAAGCGGGTTATGTGAAAACTCAGAGTAAGTTAACTCTGAGATCAGGGAAACTCTGAGTCAATCACCATGGTAACAGACTCTGGGTCAATCACCATGGTAACAGACTCTGGGTCAATCACCATGGTAACAGACTCTGGGTCAATCACCATGGTAACAGACTCTGTGAACATCACCTGCTCGCTGGCAGGTTTACTATAAGAAACCCGGAGTTTCTACCGTGGTAGACACGGATTGCCCTTTTCTACCGAATCCAATTGACATCGAAGCCGTCGTGATTCGAAATGCTTTACGTCACGAGAGAGTCTTCCGACCCAGATTAGACGTTTTATCATTTCCAGAGGAATTTCTGTTAGAACGCTACAGCTTTTCCTCACAAGGGATCATTTATCTCACTAACATTCTCCGGCCGTATATCACCAACCTCACACACGGACATGCGCCCACATCGGAGCAAATCTTGTGCATCGCGCTACGTTTTTTTGCAAATGGTGGTTTTCTTTATAACATCGGGGATGCAGAGCACTTTGGCAAGGCAGCAGTTTGCAGAGCTGTGAGGAAAGTTCCCCTCGCACTGAAACGCGTGTTTCCCGGACACAAACCTCTTAGAACCATCAAAGAGGAATTCCACAGGATTGCAGGTGGCTGCCTTCTTTCTGTTGGCTGAGCAGAACTCAATGTTTCTTTGTTTTTTAATTAGTATTAATTAATTAATGAGTGTTGGTGTAGGCTACAGAGTCACATTTTAAATGACTTCGATAGGAGACACTTAGGTATAAAATAAAAATGTGTCTAAGTGGGGTATTAAGTGAAAAGACGTGTAAAATCAACATTTTATTAGGGGTTTAATTTACTATTTCAAGTAGCCACTGAATTAATATTTACTTTGTTTAATAGCCAAAGTCAATTAAAAAAAATGAATTAAAATTAAAGTGAGGTGCAATCATAGCAATATATGTCATACCTTTTTGAATTATCTTTTTAAATTTCATTTTTAGCTGCTTCCAGGTCCTTTTTTCCCCTGTTGGATTGCACCTAAATGAAAATCAGATTTCATTCCTACTTATATTCATAACTATAGCCTGCGCCGATCTTACGGTTAAATGTCATGTCAATGGAACAGTACATTTAAACTTACGCGTTGACTCGGGCAGCGATTCTTCCCCACGCAGTCTCTCTCTCTCCTTCGCTGCTGTATTTCATTTGCAGCGAAATACGTGCTCATGCTCACCGGCCTGCAGAAGGACCTCCAACTCCATCGCAGGGAAATAGCTCTTTTATTTACTGTCGTCATGGTGACTCGTGGTGACTCGTGCTATCGGGGCTCCATTGATGATGGCTTTTTATAACCGTCATGCACGAGTCCATTGAACTAACGCAGATCAGCTGTTCTGGAAGCGGATACTCAGAGTTTCCCGTCTCAGAGGAAGTCAACTGGGAGTTCAGGGATCGACTCAGGCCACATTCACACATGGCCGGGTATTTACAGAAACGAATATTTCTGCCCCTCCGTTTTCAAAAAAGTTTCTGTTTATATGAACCCGCATAAATACGGCCCCGGGCGCCATCATAACTACGCCAAACCTGTAGTCGGCAGTGTAACGAGAAGGATAAAGACGTGCAAACCAATCAGAATTCTCAAAACCAACAACAAGTCGCACACTGTGATGTTTGACAACCTAAAACTCCGTTGGACCGAGTTCACACGCAAACACAAAAACAGAGTTTTCAGAAATCTCCACTTTGGCCGGAGTTTTTAGAAATGATCGTTTTCCGTGATAAAAGCTGCACACTAGATTTGCTCTCCGCGTACTCACAGGTCTGATTAAGAAGCCTCCTTTTCTTTTTAATAACGTTCGATTCTTCCTGCCTGCGCAACATCAGTCAAGGTGAGAATCATGGGGGCATTTGTTGGCCCTCTCCTCATGATGATGCTCGCATGGTGGCTCTCATGGCAATAAAGCTGATTCTGATTCTGACTAAGAGTATTTAATATCTGTGATCAATAATGTTATCGGTGAACTCTTCCATCAATCAGGAACGTTTATTGCCAATATAGGTTAGACATGTTGGTTGGTGCATAACATTGGACAGTAAAATGGGATTTTTTAGATCTACAGTATAAAATAGAAGGCTACGGGCTACGGGGAGGATAGAATTTAAAAAATAAGAGATAAAAAAGTACATTGTGAAACAAATCAATATAATCAGTTTCAAGCAGCTGACCACACATGAAATATGTTACAAAAAGTATTCAGTAAATACATATTTGTTAAATATGTATTTATTATTATCATTACAGTCCCTTTGACGCTGACGTCTTGATGACAGTCCTCTTGTCCTTTAATTCAAAAATCGTTAGTTTTAATGCACAATGATGGACATTAACAAGCCTCACTGTGGATACAGACGTTAAAGTTTAATTTAAACATGAAGTTCTAAGCCTGTTGTGGTTTTGATTCTTTTCCGGTTCTGATCCTGTTTGGGTTCGGTCCTGACTCAGTCATGGATCCACAGCTCGGCCGCTCTTCTTCAGCAGTCTGGCTCCCCTCCTCTTTCCCAGTCAGCGTTCTTCCCGCCGATTGAATGCGTCATGCTGCCGACAGGAAGCTTCAAGGACCGGGTGGCATTCATCACGGGGGGAGGGACTGGCCTGGGCCGGGCCATGACCACCACGCTGTCTCAACTGGGAGCCCAGTGTGTCATCGCCAGCAGGTCAAGAGGCAAACCAACAGCCACTGTTAGCTTCACAGCGGTACCACAAGCTTCTTGCACCGGTGTGAACCCAACGTGCAATGCTACCGCTGCTTGATGCTATGCTAACGTTTGTTTTGAAGAGGGATTTTGTTTGTGGTTCAGGAAGTTGGAGGTTCTGCAGAAAACAGCCGAGGAGATCAGCTGCCAGACCGGAAACAAGGTAACTAACTAGAACCAGAACCAAAACTTAAACTATGACAGAATTGAAGCTAGAACCAGAGCTAGAATCAGAACCAGAGCTAAAATCAACAATAAATGCTAGAATCAGAACCAGACTAACGTCTCAGTCCAGATGCAATCTACTGCTCCTTTTGCTCCAACCGTTTTTAATCTGTTGAACTGATCTGGTCTAGTCGGAAGTGGCCTGGTCTGAACTGTTCTGATCATAACTGGTTCCCCTTCCTCTTTGTCTCAGGTCCATGCGGTCCAGTGTGACGTCAGAGATCCAGAAGCCGTCTCTTTTTGTGTCGACCAGGTTGAGTCTCTAACTGGACTTCCTGATGTAAGAGCACACACACATCCTGGTTTTAGAGTCCTTGTGAAGACCCCTCGTTAACCTTCCTCATTGGTTGATTGGTCTAGGTGATCATCAACAACGCGGCAGGAAACTTTGTCTGTCCATCTGAACAATTGTCCCCAAACGCCTGGAAAAGCATTACAGACATTGTCCTCAACGGGACCGCCTACATCACCCTGGAGCTGGGCAAGAGACTGATCCGGAGTCAGAGAGGTTAGAGACTGATCCAGAGTCAGGAGTCTCAATACCTAAGACGGCGAGATCAGACTCGGGCGTCCTGACTCACGGGTTCGGGAGAACAGAGAACGGTCATTTACGCAATTGGAACAGCAGCTAACTGGATCAGCTGGTCTTACTAATACATTTAGTATTACAAGCGACTGATGACGTCTCACGAGTCCACGAGAACAGGAGTCCACACAAGAACGCATATTGTGAAAGGGCCAAAGAGGCGGGAGACTAATCTAGAGTCCGGAGTTATTATGGTTTTGTTGATTGTTTTTGAAGGTGCATCTTTTATGATGTTGTTGTTGATTTATTGTTTAGGTGCGTCTTTCCTCGCCATAACCACCATCTACGCTGAGTCAGGTTCTGGGTTTGTGGTCCCGAGTGCGTCAGCAAAGGCTGGGGTGGAGGCGCTCTACAAGTCAGTCTGACCTCTGACCTCTGCTCTTGGATGCTTCTGTTATTGCTGACATGTGTTATGGTATAACACACGGTAACACTGTTGTTGTCGTCAGATCTCTGGCTGCGGAGTGGGGGCGCTATGGTCACAGGTTTAACATAATCCAGCCTGGACCAATTAGAACCAAGGTACCGCACACCCGCTTATCGATGATGATGATGTTTGTTTGTAGTTATTTGTTTAACTGTTTGTTGTTGCTTTTATTTAGGGAGCCTTCAGCCGTCTGGACCCAACTGGAGAGTTTGAGAAGGCGATGATCGGTCGAATCCCAACCGGTCGACTCGGGACCCCAACGGAGGTCTCAAACCTGGCAGCGTACATAAGCAGCGACTACGCTACCTGGATGTCTGGAGCGGTGAGTTGACACTGGTCTAAGGTCAGAGTTTGGACTGGTCTAAGGTCTACGGTCAGTGTTTGGACTGGTCTAAGGTCTACGGTCAGTGTTTGGACTGGTCTATGGTCAGTGTTTGGACTGGTCTAAGATCTACGGTCAGTGTTTGGACTGGTCTACGGTCAGAGTTTGGACTGGTCTACGGTCAGTGTTTGGACTGGGTCTAAGGTCTACGATCAGTGTTTGGACTGGTCTCCGGTCAGAGTTTGGACTGTCTACGGTCAGTGTTGGACTGGTCTAAGGTCTACGATCAGTGTTTGGACTGGTCTATGGTCAGTGTTTGGACTGGTCTACGGTCAGTGTTTGGACTGGTCTAAGGTCTACGGTCAGTGTTTGGACTGGTCTATGGTCAGTGTTTGGACTGGTCTACGGTCAGAGTTTGGACTGGTCTATGGTCAGTGTTTGGACTGGTCTACGGTCAGAGTTTGGACTGGTCTACGGTCAGTGTTTGGACTGGTCTAAGGTCTACGATCAGTGTTTGGACTGGTCTACGGTCAGAGTTTGGACTGGTCTACGGTCAGTGTTTGGACTGGTCTAAGATCTACGGTCAGTGTTTGGACTGGTCTATGGTCAGTGTTTGGACTGGTCTACGGTCAGTGTTTGGACTGGTCTAAGATCTACGGTCAGTGTTTGGACTGGTCTATGGTCAGTGTTTGGACTGGTCTAAGGTCTATGGTCAGTGTTTGGACTGGTCTATGGTCAGTGTTTGGACTGGTCTACGGTCAGAGTTTGGACTGGTCTATGGTCAGAGTTTGGACTGGTCTATGGTCAGTGTTTGGACTGGTCTAAGGTCTACGGTCAGTGTTTGGACTGGTCTAAGGTCTACGGTCAGTGTTTGGACTGGTCTACGGTCAGTGTTTGGACTGGTCTACGGTCAGAGTTTGGACTGGTCTACGGTCAGTGTTTGGACTGGTCTATGGTCAGTGTTTGGACTGGTCTAAGGTCTACGGTCAGTGTTTGGACTGGTCTACGGTCAGTGTTTGGACTGGTCTACGGTCAGTGTTTG